TTTTTTTTTTTTTTTTTTTCACTAAATCCAAAATTTATTCACTTTCACGCTTTGTTTTATTATCGTTAGTATTTTTAACCATATACAAATAGTTATCTTTTGGAAAATTCCAACATAGTAATTATTGTTGGACATTTTCATAAGTGGCAATATCTTTTAACCATTATCTATTTTGGTATGTGAGTGGCTGAAAATAGTTTAAGAAAAGAAGGAAAAAAATATATGGAAAATAAAGTCTAAAACATATAAAAATTACACTCTCCTTATCATAAAATTCATATATATCTTTATTTTTATATTATACGCACTCGTTTTTTTTTTCTTTTTTAATCGACACTATAAAAAGGAAAATTAGATTTCACAGAATATCCCAAAAAAATTATCTTTGTATAACTTATTTTCGTTTGCTCGATTAGAATCCCAACAATATTATGGAATATAATTTTTTTATTCTAGACAGTAAAAATGTTACAATATTGATTTGATTCGGATTTTGGGAATTTTTAAGTAAACTCCAAATATTATATATTTGTCTCTTAAATCTAGAATATTTCGAAATTGGTTATTAGCAAGGTTAGGATTATGAGAATCCCAAAAATTAATTTTCTTTATTTTTGTTTAATATGTGTTAAAATTTTCAAATTCGGATGTATGGCTCGTTTTCGAATAATTTATGCATAATTATGCAATGTGCATATAGATTGCTTAGATATTACCTACAAATATTTTACAAAATACAATATAGCTTAACAATGTGTCAAACCGGGGATAAAACGAGTGCGATTCCACACAGGTGAAGCGCACTACAATAGGGTTAGCCCAAATGAAGCTCAAGTAATGTTCCATCTCAAAACTAATTGGTGATGGAAGGAGTAGCCCACTAAACCTATAAACTAGGCTCCCTAATAAATCAATGTGGGACAACCCATAAGTGATACAATGTTGTGTATCATATGTAAAATAACTTTGAATCATGTATTTTACTATTACATAGCAACCTCTATTGTTTGTTCTATGCTCAATGTCATGTGTTCAATTCTTGTTCTTGTGAGGTGCAAACGAGAATGAGATTAGGTATACCGTATATAGCATTGGTAGTATTCTCTTGCTTACAGATTTTTCTCCTATAATGTACTTGTAAGTAAATGACTAGAGATTGAGCACAAATTTATATTGTTTACGGGGAGATTCTACGGTTCCGTTACGGAACTATTCCGTCGGAGTTTGTAACCGTTAAATCAATTATCCACGACGGTTACATGATGATTTAACGATTATAATTCCTGACGGAATGGTTCTGCAACGGGACTGCAGTATTTCCCTTGTTTATGTTCATAATTTCAAAAGTTTCACTATTTCTTTTCGGAAAAGAATAAAGGGGAAAAAAATAGTAAAGAAGACAAAATCCTCAATTTATTTTTGTTATTATTATGATGCGTAAGAGTGTAGGGTGCAATTATATAACGAATCTTATTATGACTTTGGTGTTAGAGGAACATTATTTTATGTTAAACTAAATAAAAGAACTTTTCACAAAATCCAAAATTTATTCAGTTTCACTTTCATTTGTTATTTTTACCATCTACACATAGTTATCTTTCGAAAACTCCAAATTAGTAATTATTGTTACCTATTTTCATAAATACCGCAATGGTTATCTATTTTGAAAATGGTTTAGGAAGAGAAATAAAAATATATGAAAAATAAAGCCGAAACGTATAATAATTGTCAGTTTTTTTTGCTATGAATCTAACAGTTGGCTCTATAGTGGATCCGACCTTCTATATACGACAAGTAAACTATACCATATTAATAAAATTATTAATATTTATTTAAGTGATCATAGAATATAATATGATCTACTTGGTTTCTATCCTTGTTTTCATTGCACATCAATTTACAGCTTAAAATTAGTTTCTATCCTTGTTTTCTAGTTTTATTATAAGGAAACGCTAAGGTCCCGATACGGAATCATTCCGTTGGATTTGTAACCGTTAGATTATCATGTAACTGTCAGAGATAGTGGATCTAACGATTACAAATCTCGACGAAATGGTTCCGTAACAAGATTGTAGTATCTTCATTTATTATATTTTTCCCTTGCTTGTCATGAACAGGAAAGGTCAAAATCAAACGATCATATATCCAACTTTACATATGCTTTTTGAATGCTTTCCTTGGGGTAATTATCTTGCACAAATATTAATCAATTGACTTATGAACTGTGATTAACATTTTATTTTATTTTATTTTATTTTTACTTGTCGTTTTGTCCATTTTTTATATTATTAAATAAAAAAGTCTCAGCTCAGATTATGTAGGTTAATCAATGATTCGATGAAGACGTGTGTTGGCCGTCAGGGCAATTAATTAAATGGGCTCAATTTTTAGTTTTAATTCATACTGAAGATTAAGTAATAATAAAGCTTGAGCGACTATATACAAGGATGTTCAGCCCACTAAATAAATTGTGAAAAGTGGATATACTACGTAGAGTGCTCTCAACTATGTTATAACGTGAAATGTTTATAAATTTAGCAACATCAGAATAAGTTAAAATAACGACAGAGACGAATCTAGGAAATATAATGAGTGAGGGCCTATATTTAATGAAAAAATGTAAAATATTATACAAAAAGTAAAAATACAAAAACACACCTTTATAATCATTCTTTACAAGTTTTTATCGACTGATATTGCTCTATGATAACATCACTATCAAATTTCAAAAAGATTTTTTTTTTCTACATAAACTAGTAGTCTATCGTTTTACCAATTACACTCATTTGAATGTTCAATCTATCCTTAATAATATTCGTTGCGAAAAATACTCGTTCTTTACTAGCTGTTGCAACCGGTAAAACCAATGCCAAAGTAAAAAGCTTGTAAACCAGTGATACCAAAATTTTTCTTAAATTTATTTTGACTCAAAGTATCTCTTTTTGAGACATTTCACAAGCACTTTGTTGACGGGACATTTTCTGAAAATAATATTATAAATATACAAATACTCATATATCCTTGTCAAAACCATTTTGTGTAGCTGAATACTGTGGTAATTTACTTATCTATTTTTCTCTAGAAAATTAGTTTTGTGATTGTGAAACTCAAATATCATATTTCATATCATCTAAAATCAACTATTACCAATGTAAATAAAATATAAGTTTATCATAATCAAACTTCACATTTGTCGAGCCTACATCGAACGAGAACAGAGAAAAATTAACTTGCATTGCATATTCATGACACAAAATAAAGCATATCTAAATTCTATAATCTATTAATATATAATAAGGATTAACATAATTCACTTTTAGAAACTCTTTCCCGCCAATTTCATTAATTACATGCTAAATTTAGAATGTTAGGACAATTTGGGATAAGAAATTAATGAGCATTCATAATTTTAGGAATAAATTGATACAATCCGATTTTTATTCACTTTTTAAAATTTGGTTAGATATTGATCTATGGAATAAACTGATACATCTAGAATTTTAGGAATAAACTGATACAATCTCAATTTGGAGAGCAACAAAAAAAAGTAAGAAGGTGTCTATGCAGTTCGCAATTACCAATTGGAGAGCAATCTTGGTAAATAACGGTCTACGGTTGCCAAGTGCAAAGTAATTTTGCATGGAAAAATGACGATGTTTTAATAATGTATGACTTTTTCATGACGAATATTTTGCGATTACCTAACAAATACACTATGTATTATAACTTATTGATTAATAATTTAATTATAAATTTTGCCAAAATAAATACAACCCGTGCATCGCACGGGATTACATACTAGTTTTCTTCTAAAATTGTGAGCGTGCTTGGATACAATTTTAATCATGAGCATTGCAATTGTACTATTTTCTTTTGCTTAATTATTATATATTAAATGCTTCATTAGTTTGTTATACTAATTTATTAATTGGGCTCATATAGGCTAGAAATATAAGTGTGTAATACTAGAGGTTTATATGGGCTTAGTATACTAGGTTTATTTTTCCAGTATGGGCCTACTGGTCCTCAAGTGCCTCCGACCTTGAATAGCGGAAGCACAAAAAGAGATAAAAACTCTTCACGAGCACCCCACTGCTCCCAGAAATCTTTCATTGATAGATCGATAGTGCAATCGTGTATAGATTGGTCTTATACAACCAGAACTCTCTTATAGCCTAGTCAACCCTATACTCGATCCTACCAAGTACTTCTTTGGTCAGTCCCGTGGACTTTACATACTCGAATCCCTCGAGCAAACTAAGTACTTAATCCCTAAGTACTAATAACAAAGTGTGAATAAAAATATAAAAAACTAAAAGAAGACAACTTCACTTCTTCGATGGCGTAAGAACATTGAATCACTGAACAACGAACCAAAAACAAAAACAGCAAACTTGACTCTATATTGAAGCTCGATTAATATGTGAATGATAATGATCTTATCAGTTTCCAATTAATCTTCAAGATGGATATATATAGGCTCCTTTAGGCGTGGAGTTCTTTTCAAGTGATTTGCTTCCAAAGCTTTGAGGTTTAAACATAGTAAGTGAATTCTTCTTGATCACAAAACCTCTCTTTCTTCCCAAATCATGCCGATCTTCTCTCATTCACACGTTGCCTTACATTTCCATGCACGCGTCCAACATACTACAAAATATCACCAGATATCATACAAGATCTTTCCAAAATACAAATATATAAAATCCGAAAAATTTATATATATATATATAAATAAATAAAAAGATAAAAAAAGATGATCTTTTCTTAATTTTTTTTTTGCTTGCATGAATAAATCTTCAATATATTATATTTGAACTTATTGAAAAAAATAAATCTTTTAATCTCGAAATAAGGACACTATGTGACATTTTCAAAACATTTATTACATTAATATTAGTGCTTAATAATAAGATAAAAAAAAATTGTTCATTTTCAGATTTTATGCACCAACAGGCAGATCAAGTTTAGACCACTTATTTGGCGGTTTCTTCTTATTATTTTTTTTTCTCTCTCTATTGCTCTTCCTTTCTTTCTTTTTTTTTTTTTTTTTTTTTTTTTTTTTTT